TCTATATGGAAAATAAGAAAACTTCTGACCAGTCATGTAACGAAGATTTTACATACTCGTATAATCGTCATCAACATATCCTCTAACTGCAAAGCAGCCTCTGATTTTTTAATGTTATTTTATTATTATTTTTTATTATCTGTGTTTAACCCTACTTGTGTTTTTGTTAAACTATCGGAAAGACATTTTTTTAAAATTGAATTTCGTTAAGTATTACTGCATACAGATTCTGCCCGCGGCTCAGATCGCGTGGATAAAGAAAAGGATTTCATCATTCGTTGTCGTGTAACTTATACTACGGTAAAAAGTAATTTGAAATTTTCCAAAGGTAAAAATATCCCTGTTAAATATACTTAATCCTTCCGTGATCTGTGGTCAATCTAAAACAATGTGTGAATTTGTGCGCCAATATTATTCAAAATAATTTATAGATGATTAATTAAAAACATCCAAATATTTTCACAAATCTTCACATATAAAATGAAGAAATGAATATTGTTATCGACAACATAACACCAGAGATACTCGTATATTTTTCGCATTTGAAATATTTTATACAATTTCTTGCAGAGGAGTAGCGGCGTAAGGCAATCCCCTAGCCCACATCATCCCATCATCATCATCATTACAGCCTTTCATAAGTCCACTGCTGAACATAGGCCTCCCCCAAGGAATGCCACAAAGCACGGTCCTGAGCCACCTGCATCCATCGACTTCCTGCATGTCTTACCAGGTCGTCACTCCATCTCGTGGGGGGTCGTCCTACACTTCGCCTACCCGTACGAGGCTGCCACTCAAGAACCTTTCTTCCCCATTGGTTGTCGGTTCTTCGAGCTATATGGCCGGCCCACTGCCACTTCAGCTCACTAATCCGTTGGGCTATGTCGGTCACTCTGGTTCTACTGCGGATATCCTCATTTCTAAGTTTATCACGTACAGAAACTCCGAGCATAGCCCTCTCCATAGCTCGCTGAGCGACCTTGAGCTTCCTCATACGGCCAGCAGTGAAGGACCACGTCTCAGATCCGTAACTCATCACTGGCAACACGCACTGGTTGTATAATTTCGTTTTAAGGTTTTGAGGAATGTCTGACGAGAAGATGTGTCGTAGTTTCCCGAACGCTGCCCAGCTGAGTTGAATCCGTTGATTGACCTCTCGGTCGAAGTTGGACTTACCTAGTCGGACTATCTGTCCCAGGTAAACATACTCGTCAACAACTTCGAGCTTAGTGCTCCCAACAACTACCGGCATAGGTGTGACATGGACATTGAACATGATCTTTGTTTTGTCCATGGTCACCTTAAGACCTATCCGTTGGGAGACACTATTGAGGTCATTAAACATGGTACTTAGATCCTCCAGCGAATCTGCCATAAGGACTATATCGTCGGAAAATCGAAGGTGAGTGATGTACTCGCCATTGATGTTAATACCGTATCCTTTCCAGTCCAGAAGTTTGAAAACGTCTTCCAATGCAGCGGTGAAGAGTTTCGGGGATATAACGTCACCCTGTCTTACATCTCTCTGCAATTGGATAGGTTTCGTACTCTGGTTCTGTACTCGGATAGCCATCGTAGCCCTACTGTACAAGCACTTCAGCACTCCGATATACCGACAGTGAACTTGGCACCGCTGAAGGGACTGCAGCACCGCCTAAATTTCGACGGAATCAAAGGCTTTCTGATAGTCCACATACGCCAGGCATAGTGGCAAATTGCACTCATCGGACTTCTGTACAACTTGCCGAAGGGTATGTATGTGGTCTATGGTGCTAAAGCCCTTTCGGAAACCGGCTTGTTCGGGAGGCTAGAAGTCGATTCGTAATGACTCTCGAAAACAGCACGTAGACGCGGCTCAGAAGGGAAATCGGTCTGTAGTTCTTCAAGAGAGCGTTGTCACCTTTCTTGAAGAACAAGACCACCGCACTTCTGCTCCACGCTTCCGATGTAATGTCACCATGGAGGACGGAATTAAAGAGCTTCTGAAAGACTTCAAGTACCGGTTTTCCACCCGCTTTCAGAAGCTCCGCTATAATTCCATCCTAGCCTGGGGCCTTGCCGTTTTTAAGATGCTGCAGAGCCATTCTAATCTCGCTCAGAATGACATCCGGGATATCTTCGGAATAGTGTCGGATAAGACTCGCTCTTGGATCGTTACTCACACTTGCGGTGGCTCCAACGATGATGTGTACAGCTGCCCATAGAACCTCTCAATCTCAGGTGTCCCGGAAACGATGCTGCCACACTCGGTCTTCAGCTTTGACAGTTGGCTCTTTCTGGCAGACAGATCTCTGGCAAAGATTTTGGAGCCTTGGTTCCGCTCGATCGCTTCTTCAATACAAGCTATGTTGAAGTAGCGTAAGTCCCGCCGCATGCATTTGGAGATCTGTCTGTTCAGTTGCCTGTATGCTATCAAATCTGTTGAAGAATGTAGCTTCATCTCCCGTCTAACAGCCATGAGATTAAGAGTGTGATCGGAGAGTTTTTGTGTTCTTCTGCGGCGGGTCTTGCAGAACTTAGCTCCGACCGCATGGACAGTTTCTACGAGCTTGTCATTCATATCGTCCACTTCTTTGCAGTTTTCTAGGCACTGAAAACGGTTTTGTAACTCGAGCTGAAAGGTTTCAGGACTTTGGAACAGAGCACGAGGGGAACGGAGCGTTGACTTCATTAGACGAGACCTCTCCAACTTAACGTTTAGGTTCAGTGTGCCTCTAACCATTCGGTGATCGCTATCAGTTTTCACACTCGCGATCACGGAGACATCACTGAACAGTTGTCGTCTGGTCGTCATAATGAAGTCAATCTCATTTTTTGTCGAACCTTCGGGGCTCGACCAGGTCCACTTCCTGTGGGGCCGCTTCTGGACGAAAGAGTTCATCATAAAGAGTCTCTCTTCCTCCATGAAGTCGGCCAGCTACTGGCCCCTTGGGTTCCGTTGCCCTATTCCAAATTTCCCAACTTTCAGCTCACCGTTCTCTCTTGTGCGTGGTTTTGCATTGAAGTCTCCCATTAACACCGTATATTGGGTTTTGGAGGAATGCATGGCTCTAAAGATTTCCTCATACGTTTCCTCCACCTCCTCATCGGGGTGTGCCGAGGTTGGAGCGTAAACTTGTATGACCTTCAGCGAATAACGTTTGGTGATTCTGAGTATAAGGTACGCAACCCTCGTCGACACACTCTCGATCTTTACAACGTTGTTAACGAGAGACTTGTGGACGATATATCCGACACCTACTTGGTACAGATGGTCGCCCTCCCGGTGATAGAGCAAGTTGCCGGATTCGAGGATTACCGTGTCCTCCCCCTCTCTTCGGACTTCGGATAATCCTATAATATGCCAGCGTGACTTGTCTATCTCTTCTTCCAGCTCCACGATCTTCTCGTCAGTCCTCAGGGTGCGTGCGTTGTACGTTGCCAGGTCGAGTCGTCTAAGGTGGCAACCAAACCTCCACCGGAGATTCTTAGCACCCCCTGCCCCGCCGTTACCATGGTCGCCACCGTAGCCAGGAATAGCGGGGCCGCCGGGGATTGGGGGCCGTCTATTTGTTGCTTTAATCATTGGGGGGGTATTTGCCATAGTTGCCAAGCTTGGCGAGCGGGTTGGCAACCGCAGTTTTATTATTGTAATTTCGGCTACTATCAGGAATATGCTGCTGCCCATCTCCTGCCTGTTTCCGTTTGTCGCCTTTTACGACACCCACGGGAAGATTGGGGTAGTGGATATTCTTGACCGCCACTACACGGCTTGGAGATGGGCAGGATCATTTTCCTGAAAACAACTGAAAATAATTTAAAATTGCAGTCGCCTACCCGCCTGCCAAACGTGCCATATAAGCACAATTTTTTATAGAAGTGGAGGCAAACAAGCAGGCGGCGCACCTGATGGTAAGTGACTACCGCCGCCCATGAACAACCGCAACACCAATAGTAGGTGCGTTGCCGGCCTATTAGAAAGGTGGAAGCTCTTATCTTGAAGGTCCCTAAGTCGTATCGGTCCGAAAAAATCGCCGATAAACAATTTCACAGAAAAGTTGTACAAGAAAGAAAACTCCCAGTAAAACGCACAATGGTGGATCGCCAAGCATCCAGATGGTGAGGATGGTATCGTGAATTTTGACGCGATGTCTATTCGTGAAATTTGGCGGCTGGAATTAATCCGATCAATTCCTCAGAGCACTCCCCGTGGTAGATGGTGTAGAAAATGCATAGGGATGCAACATCGCTACGCAATAACAGAAATACTTTCCCGCTCTGCTGAGCACGCCAAGTTTTTTAGAGACCAATTTGGCCTTCTCTTCCAAGTGACCACTCTGTGACACTGCACGTCACTCGATATGCCGACGCCGAGGATTCCGATACTGACTGAGGCAACAAGGGGAGTGCCTGGAAACTGAGGAGCTACGACAAAGGGGGGTTCTTTTTTACGACATGGGCCAGTGAGTCGTCCTCTCTGTGCAGAGATGGAAGAGATGGCTTTGCCACCCCTCTGAGAAAATCCACGTGATAGAGTTAAAAACGAGGATATCCGCAGTAGAATCAGAGTAACCGACATAGCCCAACGGATAAGTGAGCTGAAGTGGCAATGGGCCGGCCATATAGTTCGAAGAACCGACAGCCGATGAGGACGAAACGTTCTCGAGTGGCAGCCTCGTACCTGCAGACGAAGTGTAGGGCGTCCACCTCATTAGATGGAGTGACGACCTGGTAAAACATGCAGTAAGTCAATGGATGCAGGTGGCTCGGGACCGTGCTTTGTGGCGTTCCTTGGTGGAGGCTTATGTTCATCAGTGAACTTGTGAAGGGCTGAAATGATGATGATGATGATGAGACAATCTGTTTTCTAGGCAAAAGTACAGCCGTGCTTTGATAGACTATAATAATTATGATGTTGATGAGGTTTACAAATCTTAAAATAGGCGTTGTTCAAGTTATAAAAAATAATATACTGTCAGTCCGCCCCTAAATTCCCCAATTTTAATTATGATTCTACTTACAAATATTTTTTGTTCTCGTAGACGTCGGAGAGGCCCAGCACGTGCGGATGTTCTATGAGCTTCATAATTGCTATTTCTCTCTCCACCTAGAAAATAAAAATATATATTAGTACATACTTTGAAGTAACATCGAGAAAGAAACCGATAAGGTTAATAAATTAAAAAATCCGGCGGAAAACCAAGGTCAAGGATATCATCAAATTTTATACCTGGCAGAGCCACGCTGCAGTTATTTTATGGTTAAAACACGAATGGGTCGGCTCGACCGGGAACAGACCACGCTCTCGCAGAATACCAACGTGAAATGGCAGCTTAATGCTGCTCTGTTTTGTATGGTGAGTATAGAGAATCGGAGACATGTTCTATGTATGAGCCACAACACTGACTTACCGTCAGGTGGACTGTGCGCTCGTTTATCAGACTTATTCTACAAAAATAGCCTTCCGTGTTTGCAAACTCAAGTGGCATTAAGTTAGTCAAATCGGCAACATATGTTATAAAAATCATACGGTTGTATATTATAAACGTGTTATGGAATGGAGACAGCGCTTAAAAAACGCAATGTTGGATGCCCCCTGGCTAGACGGAGCGACGGTCTACGCAAGGCGGCAGGTACCAACTGGATGCGTGAAGTTAAAGATAAGGCTAAGTGACACGCGTTTGGAGTGGCCTATGCCAGGTGTGGACTGCCGCAGGTTGATGATGATGAAAATGATGATATATTTTAGTAGTAGTAGAAGAAGAATAAGAGTAACTGACATAGTCCAGCAAATCAATAAACTGAAGTGACAATGGGCTGGCCATATGGCTCGAACGCCCAACAACCGATCGCAAAAAAGACTCGTGTGGCAGCCTCGTACTAACCCTATTAGATGCAGAGGACCGACATCATCATCATCATCATTACAGCCCTTCACAAGTCCACTGCTGAACATAGGCCTCACCCAAGGAATGCCACAAAGCACGGTCCTGAGCCACCTGCATTCATCGACTTCCTGCATAACTTACCAGGTCGTCAATCCATCTAGTGAGGGACACCCTACATTTTGTCTGCCGGTACGAGGCCGCCACTCGAGAACCTTTTTTCCCCATCGGTTGTCGGTTCTTCGAGCTATATGGCCGGCCTACTGCCACTTCAACTTACTAATCAGTTGGGCTATGTCGTTCACTCTAGTTGTCGGTCGGATATCCCCATTTCTAAGTTTATCACGCAGAGAACTCTGAGCATAGCCTTCTCCATAGCTCGCTGAGCGACCTTGAGCTTCCTCATCGGGCCAGCACTGAAGGACCATGTCTCAGTTCCATAGGTCATCACCGGCAACACGCAATAGTTGTATAGTTTCGTTTTCAAGTTCTAAGGTATACCTGACGAGAAAAGTAAAGTAAAGTAAAGTTGCAGCCTATTTACGTCCCACTGCTGGGCAGAGGCCTCCTCTCATTTCTGAGAGGGTTTTAGGGTAAGGAAATATCCGCCGTGCTGCCCCAATGCGTGTTGGCGAACTTTACATGTCTTTGAAATATTTTTTTTCTTATTTCTCGGATATGGAGGTTTCTTCACGATATTTTCCTTCACCGTCGAGCACGTGGTAAATCAGCACTTAAAATTGTAATTAACAATTTCATTGGTGCCGGCGGGAATCGAACCCGGGTTGCTCGCGTACTGTGGAGCTTACAGCGAGCGCTAAGCATCTGAGCTACCACGGTCCGGACGAGAAGATGTGCCGTAATCTCCCAAACACTGTTCAGCCGAGTTAAATCTATCGATTGACCTTTCGGTCGAAGTTGGACTTACATAGTCGGACTATTTGTCCTAGGTAAACATATTCGTCAACAACTTCGAGCTCAGTGCTCCCAACAACTACCGGCATAGGTGTGACATGAACGTTATACATGATCTTTGTTTTGTCCATGTTTATCTTAAGACCTATCCATTGGGATGCACTGTTGAGGTCATTGAGCATAGTGCTTAGGTCCTCCAGCGATTCTGCCATAAGGACTATATCGTCGGCAAATCGAAGGTGAGTGACGTACTTGCCGTTAATGTTAACACCGTATCCTTTCCAGTCCAGAAGCTTGAAAACGTCTTCCAATGTAGCAGTGAAGAGTTTCGGAGTTATAACGTCACCCTGTCTTACACCTCTCTGCATTTGGATAGGTTTCGCATTCTGGTTCTGTACTCGGATAGCCATCGTTGCTCTACTGTACAAATACTTCAGCACTTCGGTATACAGGCAGTGAACCTGGTACCGCTGGAGGGACTGCAGCACCGCCCAAATTTCGACGGAATCAAAGGCTTTCTCATAGATCACATACGCCAGACATAGTGGCAAAATGTACTTCTTGGACTTCTGTACGATTCGTAATAACTCTCGAAATCAGCACGTAGACGCGGGTCAGAAGGGAAATCGGTCTGTAATTTTTCAAGAGAGCGTTGTCGCTTTTCTTAAAGAAGAAAACCACCGCACTTCTGCTTCCCGCCTCCGGTGTAGTACCACCATGGAGGACGGAATTAAAGAGCTTCTGAAGGGCTTAGTACCGGTTCTCCACCTGCGGCCTTGCAGTTTTTAAAGTGCAGGAGAGCCATTCTAATCTCGCTCAGACTGACGTCCGGAATATCATCGGAATAGTGTCAGATAAGACTTGCTCTTGGATCATTACTCACACTTGCCCATAAAATCTCAGGTGTCCCGGAAACGAAGCTGCCACGCTCGGTTTTCAGCTTCAACAGTTGGCTCTTTCTGGTAGACAGATCTCTAGCAAAGTCTTTGAAGCCCTGGTTCCGCTCAAACGCTTCTTCAATACGAGCAGTATTAAAGTTGCGTAAGTCCCGCTGCATGCATTTCTCTGTCTGTCTGTCCACTTGCCTGTATCCTGTCAAATCTACTGACGACTGCAGTTTCATTTCACGTCTAACAGCCATGAGATTAAGAGTGTGATCAGAAAGTTTTTGTGTTCTTCTGCGGCGGGTCTTGCAACACTTAGCTCCGACAGCATGGACAGTTTCCACGAGCTTGTCATTCATATCGTCCACTATATTGCAACCTTCTAGGCATTGAATACGGTTTTGTAGCTCAAGCTGAAAGGTTTCGGGACTTTGGATTAGAAATGGTTAGATCACGAGGGGGACGGAGCGTTGACTTCATTAGACGTGACCTCTCCAACTTAACTTTTAGGTTCAGTTTCCCCCTCACCATTCGGTGATCGCTGCCAGTTTTCAACCTCGCGATCACTGAGACATCACTGAACAGTTGTCGTCTGGTCGTCATAATGAACTCAATCTCATTTTTCTCGGACCGTCGGGTCCACCGGTCCATCCATTTTATCAGTGGTAGAGCCACGCGGCAGCTTTTGCTGTTGCACGGATGGGCCGGCTCGAACCGGGGTGGTACCACGACCTCACAGAAAACCAGCGTGAAGTAGAGGTTTACCTCTACGTTTCGCTTGGTGAGTGCAGGTGGCCGGAGGCCCTTTTTACTGGAAATGAGGCATTCCATCTTAGTCCTCATGGGTGAAAACGCATCTACATTTTGATTTGTAATAGAGGATAGATGTAGATGTCTATGGGCCGCAGCAACCACTTACCATCAGGTGGACTGTGTGCTCGTTTGTCACCCTTATCCTATAAAAAAAAAATCCTGTGAGACCGCTTCTGAAAGAAAGAATTCATCTTTTCGTCATTCATCAGAACTCATCATAAAGAGTCCTTCTTTCTTCATGAAGTCAGCCAGCTGCTGGCCTCTTGGGTTCCGTTGGCCTATTCCGAATTTCCCTACCTTTAACAAACAAAGTCTCCCATTAACACCGTATAGTGGGTTTTGGAAGAATGCATGGCTCTAGATATATCCTCATACATTTCCTCCACCTCCTCATCGGGATGTGCCGAGGTTAGTGCGTAAACCTGTATGACCTTCAGTGAATACCGTTTGGTGATTCTGAATATAAGGTACGCAACCCTCGTCGACACACTCCCGATCTTTACAACGTTGCTAACGAGAGACTTGTGGACGATAAATCCGACACCTCCTTGGGGCAGATGGTCGCCCTCCCGGTGATAGAGCAAGTTGCCGGATTCGAGGATTACCGTGTCCTCCCCCTCTCTTCGGAATTCGGATAATCCTATAATATTCCAGCGCAACTTGTCTATCTCTTCTTCTAGCTCCAGGATCCTCTCGTCAGTCTTCAGGGAGGCAAGATATAACGCACGCAGCGATACATACATACATACACATATTGAACAAGTAATTGTCTGCATCTAAGTAACACACATCGGCATAATCAAACATAGGAAGAATAAGGGATTGAATTAGAAGTTTCTTATAACAAGGCGGTAAGATATTTTTAAATCGGTACAATTGTCTGAAAGTAGTACAAATTTTACGGCTAACTTCCTCAATATGACTGCGCCAAGTAAGAGAACGATTTAAGTAATGTGGGGTATATTAAGTTTTTTTAAGTTGATTTTTGAAATGTTCCTAATTATTGCCAAACCTTGCTTGCGATTTTTTTCGTAATATATACCTATGTTATAGTATACGACTTTGTGTTTCGCCTAGGTTTTCTTTGTAGTTTTGGTTTTATAAGGCGGCAAAACTTTAGATGGCTATATTACCCTCACGTACCTTATACTAGATTCTACAGTTTCACCTTTATATAACCTTGGAGATTTAGTTTCGCTATGTATGCAGTTAAAAAATAAGTTTGTTAACCGATAGAGATACAGCATGGTTAGTTTATTTTAGCTATTTTCGGAGTGTGATGTATTAACTCACTCAGAAATCTTTCCAAACAAATTAACGTCTCAACTGTTACCTTCATAGTTGATAATAGATAATTTATGTAAGATTTATGTAAGAAAATATTTTGCTACCTTTGATAAAATGAGTGATGTCCATAACTTTAATACGCGCAATATTAAATCTAAGCTAAAATTTTATGCGTTTTAGAGCCATGTGTGCATAGTTGTAGCACGAATGGGTCTGCTCGACCGGGGAACGACCACGCTCTCACAGAATACCAGCGCAATATAGCTTCATGCTGCTGTGTTCCGTGTGGTGAGTGTAGAGAACCGGAGACCCTTTTTTCTGAA